GAGAGAGAGAGAGAGAGAGAGAGAGAGAGAGAGAGAGAGAGAGAGAGAGAGAGAGAGAGAGAGAGAGAGAGAGAGCTGCAGAGAGTGGCTGCAGAGAGTGGCTGCACCGAAAGTTCCATCTTTGGCATTCCATCTTCGGCATTCCATCTTCGGTGTACCATCTTCCAGATACCAACGAACCACCTCTTAACTTCTCTCTCATCAGAAGGAAGAAGCCATGACACATCTGCAGTTTGATGGTACAGCAGCAATGCTTGCGTTCCAACCCACACGCTGACGCAATTATCGAAGTTCGTGGCGTTTGTGGCGTTCGTCCCCGTTCTGAAGCGCAGTAGCGTGACCAGCCTAGCTCAGTCGGTACACCAAAGAGCTGTTGAAATACAGACCTGAGTTCGAATCCCGATGGACATTGACGAATGGCATTGAATCATTCTGAATTACCTAGGGTACCTAGGGATGGTCAGATCGGTGAAAGATATCCTGAGGCCGTCGTCCTTTTTTGAGGAAACGAAAAGAAAAAAACCTTGTTTGCCTTCCATCCACAGATTCCACACATGTTACATACTCTCTTTTTCCGTCCCCTCCGTCCTCTCATAGCCTCACTGCACATTCCACCGGCACTGAACCCATACACTAGTGCCTCCCAAACTATGAACCCATCCATTCTCTCTTTCCAACTGAGGGAAACAGCAGTTTGTTTCGGCTGTACCCCCCCTCCTCCCCTCCTTCCTTTTTTTTTTCCCCAACAAGCCAGCCAGCAGCAAATGCATTAGACTTCTGAAAATGACTTTGTGCCATCCAGCGAACCGTTGGCCAATCAAACAAAGTGCTATGGACTGCACATCTTACATCCACATTTAACCGCAGTGTAACCCATAGTTTACCTGGCATTTTAACCGGCAGTTTAAGTGATTGTTTAACCGTCAGTTTAACTGACAGTTTAACTGGCATTTTAACCGGCACTTTAACCGACAGTTTACCTGACAGTTTACCTGACAGTTTACCTGACAGTTTACCTGACCGTTTAACTGACAGTTTAACTGACAGTTTAACTGACAGTTTAGCTGACAGTTTAACTGACAGTTGTGAGCGAAAGGTTAACTGACAGTTCAAGCGACAGTTTGACTGAAACTTGGTCAGCATTTTGAATGTGAAATCAGCAGAGCAAGTTCATTACACGTAAATTAATAATAATAACAACTTTTTCGCTTTGTGCCATCCAGCAAACCATCTCCCTCAGAACCCAATTGCCAAAGTTAAGATGTGGGGGGGACCACACATCTTAACTTTGCGCACAGTTAAGTCAACCACAGAGACTAACCCCACACTGCACACAGTTCAACTGGAGGTTTAAAACTGCACACACAGCAGCATCATCAACGCGCGCGCTGCAGTTCCACCAGCGTAACCAACACAAAAGCTCATCGTTTAACTGCGTAGTTTGACTGCGTGGCAGAATCCACCATCCCAAGTGCCATGGACTGCAAACCTCACCTTAAATTTTTGCACAGTTTACCACAGAGACTACCGGTAGTCCCATACTTTAACTCACCGTTTAACTGCACAGCGCCATCGATTCCCTCGTGTTCTGCCAGTGGAAGTTAACTCTCCAAATGCGTGGTTTGGCTGCACAGCAGAACCAGCCTCACCCAAGTGCAATCAATTCCCTCTTGTTCCGCCAGTGTAATCAACGCAAGTTAACTCGCGAACGCCGCGGTTTGACTGCGCATCAGAACCAGCGTCACCCAAGTGCAATCAATTACCGTCACACAGCTGAGACCGTCACACAGTTGCACTTTCTCAGTTTCATCTCTGAGATTCACTGGAAGTTTATGTGCACAGCACCACCATTGCTATTGTAATGCAGTCCCACCAGCATAACCATACAACTACAAAGCTTGCCCTTTAACTGCATAGTTTGACGGCGGGGCATGATCAAGTTTACCCAACTGCTGCCACCATGGACTGCACAACCTTCAACGCATAGTTAACCGCCGAGACTAATCCGTGGACTGCTCTCGGTTTGTCACCGTTCAGGAAAGAAATCTCACAGCTTCTCAGTTCCGCCGGCGTAACCAACACAAGTGCGCGCCCTCGAACTGCGTGGTTTGCCCACACACGGTAGAAACCAACTGGCCTAGCTCAGTCGGTACTCCCACAAACCGTTAAAAGTTAAAACGAAACGACGACCTGAGTTAAAATCCCGATGGAATCAGACGAGTGAAAATAACTCTGAATTTACCTCGGCCCAGTCAGTTCAAACTTCAAACTCCAAAGATGATATCTCAGGGCCGTCACCCTTTTTTTAAAAAAAAAGTAAGTTTACCCACATCCTCCACGGACCACACAACCTTCAAACGCACAGTTAACCACAGAGACTAACTGCGAAGTTTGACTGCGCAGCAGAATCAAGTTTACCCACGTGTGGTGCCATCGCATCGACTGCACACCTTCCATGCACAGTTAACCACAGAGGAGACTAAACCAATGGACTGCTCCCAGCTCCTCGCCGTTCAGGAACGGAATTCTCACAGTTTCTCAGTTCCAGCAGCGTAACCAATACAAGTGCACCCTCGTACTGCGTGGTTTGAATGCACGCCGGAATCAAGTTCACCGAAGTGCCGCCATGGACCGCACACCTTCAATGCATACGGCAGTGCCATCGCATCGACTGCACACCTTCCATGCACAGTTAACCACAGAGAGTAAACAGTTAACCACAGAGAGTAACCAATGGACTGCTCCCAGTTCCTCGCTGTTCAGAAATCCCACGCAGCTTCTTAACTCCACCAGCATCCGGTTTCTCGCCGCTCAGAAATCTCACAGGTTCTATGTTCCACCGGCATAACCAATGCAAGTGCACACCCTCGAACTGCGTGGGGCTTGACCGCACGACAGAACCCAGTTTACCCACATGATTCCATCGAGCGCGAGAATTTTAACGCACAGTTAACCACCGTGACTAACCTCTGGACTGCTCCGATTCTCAATTCTCAACCGTGGAAAAAAATCTTCACTTCTAAATCCCATTGCTCTCCTCAGTACCTCCACTCAGCTCCGCCGCACAACAGTTTCCCCACAAAAAAAAAAAGTTTTTGCTGCCCAGTTTCACCACAGTCCTATCGATCATCAGTATGGCCACCAATTGAATCTTACCGTCTTCACTCACCTGAATAGAAACGCCCGGCAATTATGATCGTATCTGGACTGGAAGTTGCACCAAATACATACAGATATAAAGACCGGACGGACGTTCTATTCGGATGAACCCCCCCCAGTAGTGCCATACCCACCTGCTCAACTGCACAACATAATTGCACATGATCATCAACGACTTTTCCGAACTTCACATGCCAGCGTTTCAACGGCAAAGTGGTTTAAATTTCTGGTTAACTGCACAGCACCGTCATTTAACTACAAACTTAAACTTCACTGCTATCGTTTTAACAGCACGCTGATTTCTGTTTAACTGCACAGCAGCACCGTCGTTTCACTTTTAACCACACTACTGGTTTCCGTTTAACTGCACAGCAGCAACGTCGTTTCACTTTTAACCAGGATTCATACCCACATTTTCCCACCAAACACTGGGGGGCACATTTACGTCTAACCACCCCTCTTCTTACCAGCTATCCCATTGCGGTTAGCAGATAACATATATTACACCTACTCATGAACAGTTAATGAGTTAAGGGTGGATTAGAGAATTCTGAACCCTGTTGGTTTAGACTTTGGTTAACGATCAATCCCCCTTTCCTGAAGACCCTTCTTCGCAACTGTCCCCGATCATTCCCCGCCGCCCCTAACCCAAGATCAGTTAGTGAGTTAAGGGTTAAAATCAGGAACCTTTTTTACCCCTGACCCAAGATCAGTTAGTGAGTTAAGGGTTAAAATCCAGAACCCTTTTACACCTAACCCAAGATCAGTTAGTGAGTTAAGGGTTAGAAACTTAGAATCCAGAATCCTTTTGGTTGGACTAAGGGTTAACAACTTAACAATCATTCACTTCTGCCTATAACCCATGTGCAAGGCTGGCATGTATCAGGATCAGGCATGTATCAGGCAAGACCACAGAGACCAACTTATGAGCATCGGTAGTCGATGGACTGCCTTCGGAATATAGGATGGTCTGATGGGGTTGCAACAAACATCACATCTTATTAGGGAGAAAGGCTAGATAGAACATACATCAGATGAGTATTATTATGCCATAAGAGATCTTAAGTGGCATTCCCTGTCTCTAAGGGAGCTGAGAATGGAAGAGCATTAGGAGCTCAAGAGGAAGCCTTAGGAAGGTAATGAGCGGGCCATGGCTGCAAGGGCCTCGGAATAGAGAGCTTTGGAGGGGGCAAGGGGGGGGTAGGGAGGGTTGAATTGACTTAAAATGGCATGCCCTGCCTGTGAGTGAACTGAGGATGAAAGAGCATTCGGAGCTGGAGTGAAAGGAACTGAACGGGCCATGGATGCAACGGGCTTGGAACAGAGAGATTTTGGAAGGAGCAAGCCTTAGGGTGTTAGAGAGTGTTGCCCATAGAGAGAGGGCACATTAATATTTTCCTTGATCGAGACAGACTACGGTGGTTACCAAGGAAAGGGAGAAACTACACAACACAACAAAGGAGGGAGAAGGGGAAAGAAAAGGCAATTCAAACGGGAGAAAAAGACAATGGAAAAGGGAGCGGACTCAGTCAGAGTAGGCAAGAGAAGGAAGCGACAGTGAAAGCACAGCAAGGGAGTAGCAAGCAAAAGAAAGGAAGGAGACATGCGGCCGGCTATGAAAACCATGGCTATGTGTTTCAATGTGAACACATCATAAGATGTTAAATACTGATGAGACATGGCATGGGCACAGTGAAACACATGGGCCCCGGAAAGAGAGATTGGGGGTAAAGAAGAGATGGAGGTGGGGTAGGGGAGGGAGGCGTCGGCGGAGATGGGAGGGCAGGCTGGGGGCAAGAAGAGGGATCGAAGACCGTGGCAACCCTCCATTCGTATGCAACCGTTAACGGGCCAACCTATTGCGTCACTGACTCCCTGAAAGAATTAATAATGCACTGTGAAAGAGCACTACAGAAACGACATACTTGAATGGGTCCGTGCGATCCGGGGACCTTTCCACGAAGGCATTCGTTCACGGCAAAGAGCACTTTGGGGACAGCGTATCCCCGGTGGTGTAGTGGCAATTGCTCCATAGACAAGGGTGCACTACCATGGGGACCACCGTGAATGGATCCGACTACACTTGCGGTTACCCCGTCTTCTTGCCAACGGTCTGTTGTAGAAAAGCGGAATGTCGAAAGAGCGTGGCATCGTATGTGCACGTCAAGAAAGGAGGACAGCAGGCATCGTGAGACGATATGTGACAACATGCCAATAACATCGCTCGAGGTCAAACGGGGCACTCGTGTCCACACCCCACCCTTGGTGCCGCGGGGTCACTCACCGGGTAGCCCGCCAGGAGATGCACACACAAGCTGCCTACCGACCAGCGCACCGTCGCCCCTGTGAACTTGGGTCTGCCGGCATGATGGCCTGGCTGAGACTCGGCAGCAGGCTTGGTAGGGACCAGCGCCACCGATTCTTCCGCTGACCAGCAGTGTCCAACAGCCTGGCAGGCTGTCAGAAACTGCAGACGTCAGTTAGATGCCAGTGCCTTCAAGCGTAAGGCTTGGTGTGTACCAGCCTGGTGAGGCCTCCCACCACAAGCCACATGCCAGTGCCCATCAAGCATTACGCTGGGGGTGTCTGCCGGCCTGGCGGCCTCCCAGCACCGCTGAGCCTTCTGTTAGATGTTCACCAACACAACTACAGTCTGTTAGACACTGCAGCAACAGCCACTGGCCCATGCCACGCGGACTTCTGCTGGGTGCCTGCCTCGCTGGCACCCCTTGAGACATCGCAGAAAAGCCGATTACTTGCCAGTCCCATCAAGCCATCTGCTGTGCGTTGGTCAGCTTGGCAGGCTCTCCGCACCACCAAGCCTCGGTGTGCACCAGCATAACAGACCCAATCAGATACTGCAGCAACAGCCACCTGCTGGACGTCTGTTAGCTTGGCAGGCTCTCACCACCACCAAGCCTTCTCCCACGCGCCTGCCAACCCGGCACCCGGTCAGAAATCGCAGAATTCAGCTACTTGGCAGTACCATCAAGCCTTCTCCTGGGTTTCTGGGACCACCACCAAGCCTTCTCCCGGGTTTCTGGAACCACCACCAAGCCTTCTCCTGGGTTTCCGGGACCACCACCAAGCCTTCTGCTACAGTTTGTCAGAAATCGCAGCAACTTCATGCTCCCTCAGGCCCATGCCACCGAGCCGTCTGCCAGGTGCCTGCCACCAGCAGCCTGTCGGAAACAGCAGCATGCACCTCTTTCCTGCCCCCACTCTCCCTTCCCCCCCCCCCTCCTCCGCGTGCCCTCTGCCATCTGTCGCCAGTAGATTGCGGTCGTATAATACAGTACAATAAAAATCATCCTCACAGAAAACGATTCAACTGGCTACAGAAGGCCCAGCCTATGTGGCTGAGTGGTACACATATGTGACTCTTAATAAACCGATCACGGGTTCAAAACTTCAAATCCTGGCCGATGAATCAGATGGATACAAATAACGTTAGGTTAGGGGCGGCTACCCCCCTTTCGAAAAAAGAAGAAGAAGAAGAAGAAATGCTACAGTAGGATAGAAACACAGACTTAGTACTTACTGATCGTTGCCGAGGAAAGGATCTTAAAAAAAGGAAACCATGCGGGCAGCCCCCGCAACCCCCCATTGCAAGACGCATATCTGTCACTGTTAACCAGATGGTCACTGTTAACCAGATGGTTGTCTGTGTCATATAGTACTGAGAAGTCAGTGTGTCAGACAGACATAGCCAGTATGCCACAAGTGTTTGGGTTCCACTGCTGGTTTGACAGAGGAGAGAGCTACCTTCTTCCCCCGAATACAACGTACACCGTACGACCAATATAACTGTATCTAGACTGAAAGATGCCTCAAATACTACAGCTATGGTGACCATACGTTGTATTCGGGGGAAGAAGGTAGATTGCTGGAGCGTTCCACTGCTGTGAGAGCGCTAAGGTATACTGAGGGTGACAAGGTAGAATCAGATTCAGAATTCCAAAAATAGATGTCAGTCCGTGGACAGGGATGCCAACAAGCAACACCAGCAGGATGACCGGTGACAGGTGAATGGGATCCCAGTTGTGCCGCCACATGGAGGCACTGCCAGATTCTGTGAGCGTCTTCAAGACCTGGTTGGTGCGTCTGTGGAAAGCAAACAAGCTACCCCGCCCCGCCCCGCCTCGCCCGCACTAAGCCAGCGCCCTGGTACTATTTTGGCCAATGGAAACGAGAGGTTGAGGACAACAAAAAGGCGTCGGTGGAAACATATTGACAGAATTTAGATACATGGGGTCTTTAAGTTATCCCCCTGCCACGACCCCCCCCCCCCCCAGCAGTCCTCTCTTTTTGCAGGCCTGGTTATATCCCCTCCTGACCAGGGGTGATCCAGAAGACGGCCTTTTTTTAGGCCTGATCGTACTCTTGACCGTCAGATCTACAAGGCGTTCATAATCTTGGCCGTTAATCTAGAAGCCGGCTGTTTTGTACCGCCTTCACACACCCATCCATCAAACATGGATCTACAAGACAGCAACTCGGTCTGGCAGATACATATGATCACCCATCAGGGCCACCCATCGGACTGCATGGAACATTGTATCAAGTACTATCAAGAGATTCAAGACGTAAAAAAAAAAAAAAAAAAAAAAAGACGTTTAATGCTGTGTGGGCCTTACAAAGACTGCCAAGTTGCAAACTCAAAAAAAAGAAAAAATTTAAAAATACCCAAGGGGACAAGATCACCAAGAGCCACGCAGCCCCAGCCTTGCAGGATTTCATCTTCGTCACCTACAAAAATTTCGGAGGCTTTGGGGCTCTACCAGACCACAATTAGCTGGCGGGCCCAGCCGAAAAAGAAAGAAAGTGCGCCAAGGGCAGTTCGGCAAAGCTTGGCGCCGCAATGTCACACAGTGCTGCGCTTCCAGACCCGCGTGTACTGTACCGAAGACCCCAAAAAGGGGTCTTCGGCCCCATCTGGGGAGCATAGAGCTCACGCTCATACGTGGACTTAGCTAATTTTTGAGATGGCATCTTTTTGCTCATGTACTCAATCGGCCTCAACTTTTTCCCTTCCTTCTGCGGAAGGACCGCGCCTATACCGTATTGTATCAGCAGGTGTATGTGGTCGCAACAAAGGGCTGTTTAGGGAGGATCCGGAACGTCGCACCGTTTCAGCCATGGCGTTAACGGCATACAAGAACGTGGAGGTACTGGTGCTTTTCAGCCCTAAAATGTGTCGAACGCAAGGTTGGCCAGTCGATGTGCATGCAGCTTAGCAGGAAACAACACCCCTCACAGCCACTCGCCAAAAGCACACCAGGACATTTGGCCATGACAAGGCTCGTAGAATGCTAAGATTTGTCAAAAAGAGGATTCGAAAACAGAATGGACTTAAAAAATAAAAAGAAAAACAGAATGGGCTGGCTGTCTCCGAGGCTACAACAGATTAAGTAATATGAACGGGGAGAGGAGAGGAAAAGAATGTGCTCCATCGTCAGTAGTACTTAGTATGCACGTACTAGATGAGTGGTTACGAGGAAGGAAGAAGGATCTGTATAAATTACTAAAAATCATAAAAAATCATAAAAAATGTCATCACATCGAATGGATAAATCTTCCTATATAATAGTCTATAATGTATATTATCTTATTATTATGGTAATTCAATATGGAATACAACAGATGCTCCTTGTCAAATCGCTTAAAAATATATAAATATAGTAGTATATAATAAATATTAATAATACTAAATCCGCGCTCAAGATGTTGAAAGCAGGTGCTTTTCGCCATACGACATGCTGCCTGACCTGCATTAGGACCAGGTAAACATAGACAAAGGAAATAAAATCTTCGAGAGAGCTGGATGGGTTGATGATAGCAACGAAGCTGACCGGAATAGATTCGATTGCTCGATTTATGTGTGTCATCCTTAGATGAACAAGGGCCATGCTAATCTTCTCTGTGTCGTTCCAATTTCAGCGGATGTCCCAAAGGGACACTGTTTTAGATTGCAGACTATATCAAGTGATGAAATCATGAAATGCTAATGTGGTATTCAGATAGATGCATAGTATAGTGCATACTATGCATCTATCTGATGAAGGTGAATGGGGCTGCCATTACCATTCTAGGGTTCTACAATTTGCCTAATCTACAAGGATATCGAGAAAGGGATGTTATTTTCTCTCCTGCTATTAGTACATGTATCTATAGATTCTATAGTATCTATACTATTCTATAGACTTTCCTGCCAAGTTTCTACGCCCGAAGAGACTAAGCAAGTTATGTACCACCTCCTCTCGCACAATGTCTCTCCTTGCAGTTATCTTAAGCCGACTCCTCAAATCTACGTACGTGTATCTATAGATTCTATACTATTCTATAGACTTTCCTGCCAAGTTTCTACGCCCAAAGAGACTAAGCAAGTTATTTACCACCTCCTCTCGCACAATGTCTCTCCTTGCAGTTATCTTAAGCCGACTCCTCAAATCTACGTACNTACCACCTCCTCTCGCACAATGTCTCTCCTTGCAGTTATCTTAAGCCGACTCCTCAAATCTACGTACATGTATCTATAGATTCTATACTATTCTATAGACTTTCCTGCCCAGTTTCTACGCCCAAAGAGACTAAGCAAGTTATGTACCACCTCCTCTCGCACAATGTCTCTCCTTGCAGTTATCTTAAGCCGACTCCTCAAATTTATGCTTTAGGCATATGCGTTCGTCTTCCTTAGACATTGGATTGGAGCTCTGTTCTATCAAGAAAAGGCCATGTCATTTTCTCTAAACTACGTCTTAGCCTCTTAGGCATATAAGTTCATCTCCTTTAGACAATGGAGCTCTGTTCTATCAAGAAAAAACTACGCTTTAGGAGCTCTGCACTATCAAGAAAAGGCCATGTCATTTTCTCTGACTAAGCGTTAGGCATATAATATTATGCGTTTGTCTCCGTTAGACATTGGATTGGAGCTCTGTTCGATCAAGAAAAGGCCGGGATGTTTTCTCTACCTACGCGTAATTAATCAGTAGCGAAAAAAAACGAAAAAAAAAAGTCTCCCAGGAGTAGGTGGCGGACCTATTGTCGTCAAGACTATCCCATCAAGAAAAGGCCATAGAATGTCATCCTCTCTCCTTCTCTTACATGTCAAATTATGCGAAACATGTCCGCCAGGTGGTGGGGACCACCGACAGGTGGTGGGGACCATTGTCGTCAAGACTCTCCCATGAAGAAATGGCCATGTGGTGGGGACCACCGGCAGGTGGTGGTGGGTACTAAGTAGGAAAAACATGCTCGCCAACTGGTGGGACCTGCTGCCATTGGGCAGTCTCGACGATTATATCCTTCTGAATTAAAAAAAAAAAAAAAAAAAAAAAAAAAAAAAAAAAAAAAACATCGGAAGACTCGAAGAAAAACGCCATCTACAGTATCCTTGCCAATAGCTGGCTGTTCCTTAAAGCACATTCTCACACAATTGTTTTCCGCCTTTTTCTTTCAAACATTACTAAGCTCTTTTCTAGTCCCCTCCGAGCCTTGTGATTTTCGCCCCTCTTTCTCGCCTACTCTCTCTCCCACTTTTGTGTCCCCTTGTTCTCTCTTTATCGCCCTCTCGCTGCCACGTTCGTGAGTATATAATACAAATGGTTGTAACTTGAAAAAAAAAAAAAAAAAAAAAAAAAAAAAAAAAAAAAAAACCATCAAATAAAAAGCTGGTTTGCCGTTCACAAGGTTTTATTATTATCAACCCCCGATCGCCACCTACCTTTTACCCCACCCATAATCCCCAATCTGTACTTAGGGCCTCGCTCCACTACTCAACATTCTACATGAATTTGTACTTCTTTCTGGACCAGGTGCATTCCAAGGAGTCCAGCATTTTCAGTGTGTCTGGACAAATTATGAGCTCCAGATACATGTAGACATTGTAGAGCGTTGCATAGTGGAGCGAGGCCCTTCCTAATCAACATCTACGGCTGTACGATACCTTACAGTCCTATTCCTTAACCACTGGCTCATCCTCCTGTCCATCAGCAAAAGGATCTGCTCATCACATCAGATAACTTACAGCTCTACTCCTTAAGCTCTGGTTGGTGCCTGGTTCCAACTCTGGTCCCTGGTTCCAACTCTGGTCCCTGGTTCCAACTCTGGTCC